CGGTTCCATCAACAGTGTTTGCGACGCATTCTGCGCGTCGCTTGGTGCGACCTAGTTGCGGACACAGAAGTGTTGCGACAATGTGGAATGTATGCAGTGGACTGAATGCTTTTGCTTAGACACCTTGTGGTGGATTAAAGGTAGATACTACTGCGCCGGGTATAAGTAGTGTGGTGTTGCAAGATGACACACCAATAGCGAGCCCTGCTGACTTCCCCAAAGTTGAAGATGACATCAGATTACAGTTCCATGTGCACGAGGAGTGAACACAGAAGCAAGCACCAGTTGGGGAACACTCCATGGAAATCACGCAGATGAGCGGACGCCTCCAAAGTATGGACTAACACACCAAGTGTAAGCCACTTTAGCAATAGAGAAGTTACCGCATGCTCCTTGGGTTCCAACAACCTGAGGTGGCTCGGCCGTGTGATCCGTATGTATTCGACGCGGATACCGAGACAACTATTACATGGTCAGCTGAGTACTGGAAAGCGGTATGCGGGGAAACCGAAGTTACTTTACCAGGATATGATCAAAGTGAGCCTTTCACGTTCTAATCTCGATTGCAAGTCATGGAAATCGAAAGCGGTTGATCGGCGTGTATGGCGCGATCTGGTCACGAAATGCAAGAGAAAGCCCTCATGCATGCGGAGAAGCGGTAACTGCGAAGCGACAGACACCGATGGGTTGTACTCCATCGACAGCGTGCGCGTGGTGCTGTAGCACATGCGGTCAAGTGGGCCTGAGTCAGGCAGGCCTAGTGAGCCATGAGCGAGGCTACTCGGGGCCACCATCGAAGCGACGACGAGTCTTGCAGAGAACGTAGGCAGCAGCGGCGCTGCGTTTGTAGGCACGCTGCATTCGATTTACTAACCGCGTGCTTGCATGCTAAGTCACTTTATTTCAGGTGGTGGGTTTGTTATATTGTAATAATACTTTTTTAATCTCCTACTAATGTCTATCTGAACTATCTTCTATAAGCTTGCACACGTCGCTTAAGCTAACTGTAGTTAAGTTCCATAACATATTCGCATTTGTGGCACTTTTCTAAGATGCATTTTCTGACCTATTAAAACTTTCACGGAGTTTTTGCTACCAATTTATTTCATACGCTCATTTAGTGAAGTTATGGCTCCGTGTCTGTATGCATTATCCGATTTATTTTATTTTATCTCGTCATTCCAAGGGATTGGCTGTTGCTTGACATCCCCGGTGTGGGTGCGCTTGGTGTGCATGTTGACTAGGTGCCTACCTGTTTATTACCCAAAACCTCATCCATACTGACTCCAGGAGATAGTTGGTCGTTGATGGAGGGCACGGTGTCCACGGTCCTTGTGGCTGTGTTAGGCTCAAAGGGTGGTTCTATGCACATAGATTGTGTGTGGAGCGGAATACGGTCCAGCCACCGCCTTGTGTGCGTTTGATTCTCAAATACAGCGTGCTTGTGTTTACCTGTGAAGGAGTATGGACCGACCGTTGATGAAATGTGGGTTCCATCCACATGCCTCCCGGTCTTATTCTTTCGGGTTTACACTGGATATGGGTGTGTGGATGGAGCTGTGGTTGGTGCAGCGCAAGCCACCCATTGCCCCTCTAGGCGCAGGCGTCCTGTGGCTGGCCACAGTGACAGGCAAATCCGGAACCGGATACCGCCAACCGTATATGTATCAAGCGAACCAGTAATTGTCCTGTGTACATATGACAGCTGTGTCCTTTGCGTTTCTGTTCTTAAAATAACGATCATCCCCAAAACCCAACCGATCTTCACTGCAGGGGTGCTTGCGGACAAAACGAAACACTTCTCACGTCTCGCATTCCTGTGCAGCAACCCACAATGGTCGCCATATGAGGCAGAACGATATCGTGATGCGACTAACCAACACCCTTCGTCGTAGAAGGGCCCAAATCATCCCGGAGCCCCGCCTCCCAGAGGCATTAACGTACCTCAAGTCGGATAAAATCGTCAAGACCTCAACAGCACACGTAATGGACGTGACAATATGCGACACCTACAGAGCGTCCCGTAGCTACCAACTAAAAATTAAAAATTACGTGTAGATGCTCCTGCGGAAGTCCGCTTTGTGCGCTCGAAATTTCCTACGGCATTAAATATCATGCATCATCTGATAATCATCAACAACCGGAGTTATATATTCCCAGCGTCAGCCAAGCACGTTTCGGCACTGGGGCTTACCAATCTTGACATAGCCGTCTTGTGGGTGTCTAACATGAGATACTTAAAATTCTACGATACCTAAATGCGGGGTGCAATTTCAAGCTAACAACGTACCTCCACACGTTCACGAGCGATTCCGATCAATTTTTTGCTTTTATATGATTACCGTTTCAATATTGAGCCCGGACATTTGTCCAAGCTAGGCGAATTTCTGTAATGCCCAGGCCTTGGGACATACATGAATTTGCCGAAATATATGTTCATGGACTGTGATTCGCAATGAAGTGAACATTGGTCAATTTGATCACAAGGACAATGGCTGAAGCAGAAATTAGATGTTTTCGGGCGAGCAACACCTAGTTTCCTTCTGGTCCTTTTCTGTGCTTTTCTTGATGAATATTGAGGAAATTCTCAGCTCTAAATGCGGATGAGAATGTGTAATTTCTATCTGAGCTGATTGGTTTACTTGCAGTTTACTAGTCTAGGCAGCACCATCGGTAGTGTGTGCCAAATGTCCAAACAGGTAGACCCCGTAAATACACCTGGTTTCTTATCGACTTGAATTAATACTTGCTGTTGACTGCATCTACGAGTAAATAAGGCCGTTACACTATGGTTAGGTAAAACGTCAAGTTTGGAAGTAATCAGCATAGAAAAGTAAACTTTGAGGAGCTCCATTTCTTTGTTTAATTGGTTGTGTGCCACGGGTTTATCCTTATATGGTATGCTGAAATTGGCTATGCACAACGGAGCTCAAAGCTGTGCGTGCCTACAAGCGCACACGCCATGTCACATTTCAGCTGCAGCTTTAGACGGCAGTTAACTGACAAGACCAGATGCGCCCAGTTAATATTCGAAAATCTTGATTTGTGCGTAGACGACACCCTCCACATATGTAAGTGAAGGCTGTCTTTGCACCATATGTGAGACCCCATTAACGGATTTATTATTTTCGTATTATACATTCTGGCATTGATCTGAGCTAGGATTTTAGACACGTTCACACGTGTGCCCAGTGCTGTTTCCCGGAAAATTCCGTCAGATAATATATAATGTGCACATACCTCCGTATTGCGATATTTTAGAGCCACTGAAATTCTCGCAGGTTATAGGACGTCGAAGTATCAAGGTCGTTTACTGTTTAACAAATATCCTCTTGGCACATTTCAGCTGCTATGGTAAATCGCCACAATGACTGTCCCAATGAAACTGTCGACGTTTACCCTTACCTAGATCTTTAAACCCAAACAAGAACATTCGTGCTTTCTTTTTGCTCTTTGATATGATCATTTTTCTGTTGGCTATCAGTTGGTGCTCTTCCCCTATAAGCATTGTCTTTCAACCAAATAGCTAGAATTGACTACTTTTTTGAAACTGAGCAATGCGCCAGAGCGCCATGTTCGCCCGGGACTGTCTATAGTATTGACACATTTATGGTTATGCGTATGTCTAAATTTTCAGAAATTATCATGGGAGCAATCTGCATCAATTCACTGAAACGGTACTGGTAAACCTCGGTGTTGGACTGTATTGGAGTCCGAATCACTTGCCTCGTTAGTTTTCCCAGACAAGATGCTGCGGTAACAAGTCATTTTTGTGAGACACACGACTGACATAATATTACGTTTCAAAGCTTATTTCCGATCGGTGGGTATCATAAATCTTTTCATCTCTTCAATCAAACCTGACCTGATGTCGCACCGGATGAGTGACTATGCTAGAGTAACACTGCTATCCACAATATTTGTCGCTTCCTTTGTTATCAACACACAGTTTCACTTCCGTTTTTAGCCGGAATCTTCTTTTGTGCACTATCTTCAGGTATGAGTCGAGTTGTGCCCCACCTGGATTTCATGCCACATTGGCCTAAGGTTCCAGTGGAGCTAAAATAAACTGTTTTCGGTAGCAATTGCCGTACATTATATTACCAGATGTGCTCAGTGAAGGCGAACGGAGTCGTTTTCTTCCAAGTGCTTCCGCTGCGTTGCACATCACATTTGGCGGATTGTCCGGTAGTAGCGTGTGCGCCACCGCGTGAAAGGTCTTTAGGCGTCCACGCGAAGAGGACCGTTTCACCTCAGCCGGATTGTCTTCATGACAGCTCGTTTCTTACTGAGACATATAACTGCAGGTTATCCAACGAGGTACTTTTTCTATGACCATACTTGTCCCGTGCATCTTTTTATTAGGGTTCGCTGAATGAGTGACAAAATGCATTTTCCTAGTTGCATTATTGACACGAAACACGAGAAGTGGACCAATCTAAAAAGGATACAAGTTGGTGGTGGATTGAGCCACACGTTTCCGTTCCGTCTGTCTCAGTACACTTGCTTTTGTCTGGCACAAAAATGTCTTTGTTGTTGATGTTGTTGTCTCCGGGATTGCGTAAAGCAGGTTGAAATTTACTCCAACTATTTACACATGTAGTTAGTTGAACGGGTTCATTGACAGGAATACGTTGGACGGCTTTGTTGCATTTGCATTAAGCCACTATGGAATGACAGATACGTCCTTTACTGAAGCTACTGATTCATATACACAAAGTTATATCACAATAATTATTTCCTCTGGTTGATAGTATCTTTCCATCTAAGAGATTGCTTTGAGTCCATCCACGGAGGGTCACCTTCAGCACGCAATTTGTTTCCCATTGATTTAGTGTAATCATATTAAACCCTATGTTGCTAAGAGAGATGTAAATTTACATACTAAGATATCCGTATTGAAAAACAACATATACCAAAGAACAAAAGCTAAATCCCACAAATCGGGTGTACAGTAATATTAAACCCAAACTGCATGTTATCTACCTCCCTCTGTTCAGCGTACCAGACCGTCTTCCATGCGAAAAGATTCCATTCAGACACGCAAGCGGAAGTCCAAGAAACGACGGGAGTACAATCTCTCACTGGCCGCCGCAACAGTAGTTGGTATCGCGTCCACTGCATGCGCCACTAGCAATGCCTTGGCGGCCGGCAATTCACTGCACCATTCTACTTATCCGAGCGTGCGAAGTAACTCATTCACTCCGGACGGTTTGCATTCAGGGATTCATGATAGCGAGTATCTTAGACCTACTTCACTCGATGGACCACTATTTCCGATGACACAGGCATTCAATGGTCGAGCGGCAGAACAGCACCTCTTTCCAATGCACACTCCCACCTTTGGTGAGCTTCCAGGTGAAAAAATTGTTTGAATTCGATGTCTTTTCCTGAAGAACTCTCCGCGTGCAAAAATCTTACCAGTGCTTTTTCCGATTAAGTTAACCATAGTTGTTTGGACTCATATTTTATCGGATTCCGACTTGCAATGCATTAAAACAAGCATACCTTCCGCTGTAAGATGTTGGTATGGATCACAAATGTTGCCTTACCTCATCCTTTTCGCCGTATGTATACGCAGCATAGAGATGGTCACAACTGGAATGTTTTAATCCCTCCAACCACTTCATGCCTCAACCAGTTCACCGGCATTAGCGAGTAGTCGGATAGCTAGTATTTTTCTGAAGGTTCCTCGTAGATGGGTACAGCCAGAAAGCCTCCGAAGGAACTCGTGAATCTGGGCACCAACCCTGTCCTCTTCACTTTCCTAACACGCATGCCAGTAGAGGACGAACAGCTATGTATCGCAGTCATAAATCAGTCGTGGCGGTCCACAGCTGTTACCCATGGTTCAGTGGGACAAGTCGCTGACTCGTAAGAGTGGGCTCATGGGTTCGGGTCCTACCGGATGTGAGGTACCGGCAAGCCCCAAAAGGACGAAACGGCCATCTAGCGCTTTCCTGCATGTGTGGTTGCCATCTGGCTGAGTCTAACTGAGACGAGTCTTCTCAAGAGAGTTTCGGAGCTACTCTCTCCTAACGCCGCAATCCACTATTGACCGGTTTCGTCATGATTTGGATTTGTCAGGTAGAAAATGCTTGGGCTGAGAGGGAAGCCCAACACATCGGCTGAAGGCTTTCATCATGGTTACTAGGCCAGAGCTCCACAGTAGCACTTGCCACAGTGGTCAGAAGTTCATTATGGGGTATTGGAGTACCCGCCGTATATCTGGATTGCGACACGCAATCTCAATTGAGGCTACAATTTGCTTTGAAGTGAACCTCTACCATTCCGATTACCGGGACGGCATCCGAAGTGGAACTTTTCAGGGCTGCTCTCGCCCCACAGTACACTCCACAACTAACCCGTTTCATCAGCGGCAGTGCCTAAAAGCATACAAACTCATACGAACAAGTAGGTGCCACTCAATGACCAGTCCCTTATAATCCAATAGGCGAGGCATTCTTATGTACTGGGGATTCAACTGAATGCGCCGTTTGATTTTTGGAGTACTAGCTAAGTGGTTAACTTGAGACACGCCATGTAATTTCGCGCCATAAGTTATCGTGATCACCCTAGTTTCTGGGACTGCTCCCGAAGTGATGTTTCCTGTGTCAAACCGATGCTGCACTCTAAGACCTGTTCTTACATACGTGGTGAACTTTCCTGGTAAGGATATCGTCTCGGCCATTAATTAATGAAATCTTGGTGCAAAATGAAATTGTGCGTCACACTCCTAACACACGATAGACAAACCAAAACTCCTATGTGAATTGATTTCCGCTAAGATGGACATTACCTCGGAACTCGCTGGATTAGTGCTGTAACAAATACCGGTAAGCTGCTACATTTTACACGTAAATGGACTGCTCCAGCATGACCACACCGCCCTTGACCCCTCAACTGACCACTTGGACGTGTGCGGGTAACCGTGTCCCAAGGGCGCAGGCCGATGACACGCTGGGTTTAAGTGACTGACCCCATATCGATGTATCTGTTGCCAACCTCGATACCGCATGTAGAGGTGGAGACCATTCGCGAGAGCGTCACACCACGGTGAGGTAACAGCAATGCAGCCTGTTGGTGGATGCGTTTTGTTGCAAACAGTTCCTGCCACTGAGCTACTGTCAAGTGCTTATTCATGCATGTTAGCGAAGCTCCGTCACCTGAACACAGTTCATCAGCCCGTCTGCAGTACACTGGTGGTCGTTCATTGAGGTTCGAAATTTCCGAATATTAGCCAACCATGGCCGGCCGCATTTGTGAGCATGGCATGCTCGCGTCGAAATGAGAACGAACGGAACTTCGCCTTCTTGAAAATTACCGGGGTAGCTTGGAAGCAATACTCTAAACTGGTCTTACCGTGTTCCGTCTTAAGAATTGGCGTGGGCGGTGTGTGTTGGACTGCGTGTACGACAAGCTCTCCCATATGGTAATATACCCTGCAATTCGACTTTGTTAGCAATTGTTTGAACAGATCAATGAAACAACAGCGTCACGTTCAGTCTGACATCAAGGTTGTAGATGATATATGTATATCCTTAGCTCAAGTTAGTCAGTGAATGTTTCGGCAACAGAAGCTGATCCCAAATGTAAACCAACACGTGTCGTTGGAATCACAAACTTTGTTCCCTTACTTCTATGAGACATTGTTCTAGTGAGATATTCATTAAAAAATCAAGCGCTATTTACATGGAACATCGCTTTCTGATAAATCTTTACTAACTGGGCATGAAACACGCTGAATGGTGCAGAAAACTTTAATCACATTATATTGATACGACAGTCACAGTAACAGCGTTCGAGTGGCACAGGCGTCTAAAGAATGACAACACATCTGTCACGGATATTGTGAATTCAAAACACGAAACCGTCGTTCACGAAAGTATCTGCGATTTGGACTTATAACTAGTGACGACATCGCATAAGTTGTTTTTGACAGTAAACACAAAAATTCAGGATGGTTTCCATTTCCGTATGGATATCGAAACAGCTTTCTAATTTGGCCCGGCACAGTCAAACTGAAGCCCGCATTGAAGTGACGAACTGGTGGGTCGCATTGTCCATCCTTTCTATTATTTTAACTTTGTGCCAAGTGATTTCTACCTTCTTGGACTCCTAAAGGAGTTCACCGGAGGTCAACTTTTCCAAGGAGAAGAGGAAGAGAGGTAGATTCCAACATATTGTTTCTTTTATACCGGGGCATTCTAAGCGTTAGTTAACCACCAGGATAAGTTTGTCATAATATTAAGGGACTACTTAGAACAATGAATGCATTTACCATCTCCAGTTTGTCAATTTCTTTGTTTCCCATTATGTCTCTGGTTGACTTGAGCAGTGCTCATAACATGAAAACTTGCGTCTTCATTCCCTCAGCAAGAGTTTGGCGACGCTTCTCATGTCTATGACTGTATGTAAATACCACGACAAATTCATCGGCCAGATAAACCATTCCCTTTTTCTCTAGTCGAACAAGATAAATCCATCTAATTAACACCTATTTTACCATATAATTCAGTGCGCTAACGCACACAGTGTTACCATCAACCGAGACGTTATAGACTCTGGGTTTTACACGACTATCGCCTAGCCCGGAATGATCGCAGCAGAATGTCGATATAGTTGCGTTTGACTCTGTCCTAACTACTGATCCCGTGTGAGGCACCCTAGATCTTGTAGATGAGCCGTTTCATTCCATTCACCCTACGTAGTATAACTCAAGTTTTAACTAAACAACCCTAATGTACATCCTAGTCATTAACACTTGCCTACCTCAGTTTATCCTGACTGCTGTACAACGCAATCCCTCTTCCATGAGATTCTTATGTAAAAACGGTAGCTTGAAACCTCTCATTCTCGTTATGGTGAGCCACAAAAATGGTCGTTCGACTGCCTAGAGAGATATACACAGCTACCTGGAACACCGACTGCAGCGGAACGACATGAATCTTACATCTGTAGGAAACGAATCTGACACTATGGCAAGTAGATGTTGAAACTGCTTCAGGCCTCAGTGAGGCATAATTTGTCACTTACGCAACATAATGTTTGGGATATAGCAGTTCCGTCCAGGAACATCGACAGTGGGTGTTTGAGCAAAGTGGCAAGCTTAGTTTGGTCCGGAGCTTGACTTCCTCGCTCTTCCGAGAGTCGCAACTATTGTGTAGTTAGCATAAAAACGCGTTGTGTTCAAGGTTCGCAGCAATTATAACATGTATGAGCAGTTGGTTGAATGGTTGGCACGGCCGTACAAGCATGCACTATATTTCAGCGGTGTGTATCCATCACCCGCGCTCAACCCTAGCTCCACCAGATTCTATCTGCAGGCCTGCGATTTCTGTGGCGATATGTCCGTAAGCCCACTCCTTCAACCTAACGTGGGGTTGCCTCGTGCACAAAGTCCGCGTACGTTTGAGAGAAATGAGTGTTCATGGACCGTGTTGTCATCACCAAGTAAATTGCATATGTGCGGAGAAGTGTGCACTCCGGTATCCATTGAAATAACATTGAAATCAACATTTGCATTCTAGTGCTCTCATGTCTACGTAACACCGAGAGGTCACGGGTATCAAAAATGCCGCAGCACATCACAGTGCCGACCGATGGAACAAGTTATGACATGCTAGTTCCTGTGCAACTGGCAGACGAAGCAACGGGTACATAGTGTCATTGTAACGGTTTAACCGCTTCGTACGGTCAGTGCACTTGTGTCCATAGGTTCCAACAGTGTACTAGAGAAGCACTAATGTAGTGTAGCCAGTTTCTTTTTCGTGTGATCATAGAATTATTTTAGGTACGCCTTGCCACCTGTTCTGGCATCTATCCATTCTTTTCTCACAGACCATTGCACACATTCTGCTATCGGTCGATTTGATCCGTTCAGTGGAGTCTTCAATCGTCAATCTCCGGCTGGCCATCCGCTGACCTTTCCTTACCTGGAAGACAACCGAGAGTTTCCACTCGGTCCACGAAGGAATCCACCAGAGCTTGAACCATTTTTGCCCTACACATCGTATCTGGGTGCCGAAATACGCCAGTGCTTGTACGCGAATCGCATGACTGCAAACATCGCGCCGAATTTGTTCGATCCTTCTTGCTCTCTATTCCCTCCTGAATCAAAAGGAACCCCATATACTTTTAACCATCCAATGCATTATCCAACTTTATCCAGATATAACCATTTTGGCAATCTATTCCCGCCTATTTTGACGGATGTGGAGAACATGGAAACCCTCTCAAAAGAGTGCTCAAGCACTACATGCCATTCTATGAGTGCGCTCACATGCGAGCGTATTCCCACGAGTATGATCAGCCCACAACCGCAGTCTTCAGGTACGACAGCCAGCGTGGGTCGCACGGTCTTACAAGAACCCCTTCAGATGCGCACACCGAGATCAACTGGCTACCTGGATTCGCTTTACTTTGCAAGATGATTTTGTGTGGGCGCAATGAATCTGTATTCATATACTTGGCAGGTCGTGTGTGGTACTCAGATATCCGCTTTAGTTAAACTGCGCACCAAGCAACATCACCGATTATTATTTCATGTACAGAATACTTTGCGACATCCCAAACAAAATTTGTTATACAATGGAATTAAATGCTAGGTAAAATTGTAAAGATTACGTTTTTTCATTCTCCACTTGTTTACAATTTTTACATTCTATTCTTAAGCGCTTTCGTGGCATCCCCAGGACAAGCCATTTCGGAAAAGATTCGTCGCAGTTCCATGCAGTCAGACACATCGTTCATCCGGAAAAGCACTAGACCATAGTTTCACCCTCATGGGACTAGTCAGTAACGGGTTCCCATCTACCTGGTGAGATGCCAGAAGCTGTGACCCTTCATTTGTAACTGTGGTTAAGACGGCTGGGCAATGAGGAACAGGGGCAGCCAGCTTGATCAAATGGCTAGCTGTGATACAGCGTGACAGTGAACCCACTACTATGTATGCTTCTAATGTGCGGCGTACAGTGGATTTACGGACAGACACAATTTCTCTTGCTGAACCGTCTTCCAATAAGACGATATGTCAGCTAGTACAGTTATTGCTCTGAGACAAGGAATGTGTAGCCTGTGGCCGATCGATTAAACTCATGCGAGGTGAATCAGATGGTGGACCAGTAGAAGAGGACACCACCTGGCAGTGGTGGGTCCTCAGCATAATTGACGACACTGGGCTCTATTTTCGTCTGTCACCGTTACTGCGAACAGCAACATGACGTCGACATGGATGACTTTTGGTACGATGTCCCAGTGTGAATTCTGGAGACTAAGATTATATTTGCGAATGGGCGGCGCTGCCGACAAATCAGAGGACGCATGACCAGTGAGCAAATCGCCTATTAGTCAGTATAAACTGCGGCTCGAGTGTGGGTACCTTAAGCGAAGACAGTGAGGTGGCTTCTCTGTAACCTGTTCCGCGGTACAGACTCCTTAAACCAATCACTGATCTCGAAGGCTCAGGGCATGGCAGCATTCTGGAAACAATAATCAGTATGATGTTAGAGACCAAATGAAGAATCTAACCGAATTTCGACCTGGATGTAGCCCTAAATGGCAGTACTATAAAGTGTGTCTGTGTGGCAAGCGATAACGCGTTCAATCTATCACTTTTGGTCCCCTATATTGAGGACGGATAAGATCACAACAGATTGTCTACTCACGAAGTAGACGATGGTGCAGACTAGAAACCAGGGTAGAAGTGTTTCTACAGAGTATTAGTATTCTACGTTCAACTTTCGTCCGTTGAAGTTCCTCCCCAGAATTGGACTTCGGAAGAGGTCGATAGAGGACTGCAGTGGAGTTTACCGCTGCATGACTGTCTCCTTTACTGTTATGCGTGAAGCGTGAATCCGTGCAAAGTGTAATCGTTCGCGTGGAGATCGTTATCTTCTGAGCGCTCCGTGTTCAAGCGAAACACCGCGGTGACAATCTGTGTATTCGTTTTCGTGAAGGACACGTTTACTGTTCATGTGTGTGTGGGTGTTTGAGAGGAAGGCTTCTGTATTTTACTCTATGGGTGTGACTACTTGTTTTCATTCCCGGAGGGGGTGGGTGGGAAACGTCTCAACCCGATGTAGGTTACTCCACCGCAGCTACGTTTACCGCTCTCATGGGGTGACGCACGAACTGTAATTGTCCACGAGGCTTACGTTCCAAAGCGTGCAGACACGCCTACATCAAAATCAGTCTTCGAAAAGCTTTTCGGCCTTAGTTTGGCAAGCTTGCACACAATGTTCACACCATTGCTGGTTTCAACCAATACATGGTGTTGGATTGATTACCACAATTTTTCCAACGGCATGCAATTCGCACACTGTATTGCGAACAGTGAAGATATGGCTAATTGTCCTTTTCGACTGGCAGTCTCATAATTATCAGTCCGATGCGTACACTTCATGAAGTGGACATACCCGAGCTCGATCACTCATGCATAGAAGCGGGTAAAGCTTGTTGTGATAAAGTACAGCAGTCTCCATAGGCTGACAGGTGATATTCTCTCGAGTGTACTTTGCACCGGTCACGCACAGTGAAGTCAACAAAGCGCTTTATGCACTCATGAAGACGGAATATCCGGCCACATAACATCGATGGGATTTTAAGCCGTACCAGTATGCTAGCTGTACTGGAATCCACGACATTGCCATTCATCAGGTAGGCGAAGGATTGGATTTACAATCCAAACCCGAGTGACGTACGTGAGGCAGGCAGCTTATCGCGTTACCCCGGTCCGGCGTTGAAAGACACCTTGGATCTGTGTCAGAGTCAGGCAGCATCAGCGTGCACGCGAAAGCTGGGAAATATAGCCCGAAACTAACCATATGAATGAGCCACTCAATCACGCAGCAGTCTCGGATATCGTAGCAGCCAGTTTTCAAGTTACTCGTCAATAGTAGGATTAAGTTATGTTGAGAACTGGCATATGATCTTATAAGCCGAATAAGGTAAGTAGACGAAGCATACTGTCAGCTTAGGTTTGGTCGTCATAGTGAAACGCACCGATCTATCGGAGGTGGGGTCTGATTCATTTGGACTGCAGAGACGGGGTGTGTTGGAACAAAGTACTTAAGTTAGCCACCGTAAGATATCAGTAGTGTCTTAATTGCGACTAGTTATCCAGCACCAAAATTTACGATTTTGTGCGTTTAGGTTTGCTATATCTGCACCAAACTTAGGAATAAGCAGACAAGGATAGGCTAAGTACTTCATATTAAAAAATTTATCTCGCCTTCGTCCGGATGACTTGGAAGAACTGCAACTACACGCATGATGTGGCGATGGTTGGCTGGGTTGCATAGTACCGTCGGCTACGAAGGTTGATAGGTGCTCTTAGAAGCCTGAAAATCTAGGAATAGGTAATGTTAACATTGCGAACACTTATGGTTCTCCTTGAGATGCAAGATTCGGTAAGAATGGACGCAAATTCTTGCCAAGCTTGTACTCGGAAGACGAATGTTATTTTAAATCGTATGGCTGTTACCTTTGACTTGTTCTGACGCATTCAGCGCCTTAAAAGATTCACTGACTACTGCGATATCATTATCAAACCAACGCCGAACGTCTAAGGACGTCGCTCTGTACTTTCGCCAGGCATAAGTTTTCCCATCGTAAATACCGCCGGTCAAACTTGCTGAAGTGGTCATCCCTGGCCTGAAGTAACGGTTGATTATCAAACGGAACTCGAGGTCGCTGGCTCCCACAGGAGAGAAAAAGAAGACCGGGTCGGACGAGCAGAGGAACATGGCTGTATTGGCTAATCATACCGTTCAGTATAAAAGTAAAATCGAAAGTTCGTGAATGGTATTTAAAGCTCACGTGGAAAACTCCAGAAGGGTCAACTTACGGCCAATCAAGTAATGCCACTCGAGTGTTAATTGTCTACTTCACCCAGTTGGCTATCTGTTCACCCCACTCTTTACGGGTGAGTCTGACTCGCCTGCCATGACTTGGCTCCGTGACGACGACGACGCGCCTCGGTTGTTCGCTTGGAGTTTTCTATCCTAACACTTTCTTTACATCTGCCGTTAATGAGCCTCCGTGCTTCAGATTGCCCTACGCCCAGTTAATCATTTACTCAATTCATACCCTACGGAGTAACTTTTAATCAGCGATTGCAGTTCCATTAACAAGACTATTTAATGGATAAATAGTGCACTTTCTTTAGGATGCACTACAAATATATGGGTGGTAAGGTGACGGAACCACTTCTTTTAAATCAATCCTAACGTCTTACTTTAAAATTTAGAAATTCCCTTATTTGAATTCTCCAAGGTTGTATAGCAAACACTCACTTCGGTTGGTAGTGAACAGCGGAACAGGGCACAAGTAACATTGGAATTTTAGTCTGCTCAGCTAAACAGACAAACAGACTTTGTCTGTTGGGATTAGTTACCGTTGGATTCTTGAGTTGCGTCGCTAATTGGCTTCGGGATTATGGCGACTCCGTCAGGAACCAGCGTTTCACACATTTTCCCATGTGGCTGCTTACCTCATTATATTCAATAAGTCTGGTACCGCTAGAATGATCATAATTATCAGCAACCTGTGTTATGTGCGCAGAAACGTGTGGTAATCATTTAGATTACCTTGGTCTTCATTATGACATTTTGTTCGGTGTTTTCCAGTTATTCCACAGTTATAGCCGTGCGTCAGTTCTACTTGCATGGTGTTTTCGACTGATGGGACCAATCGAATTGTTGACACCTCGTTACATGAGTGGTCAGTCAAATGGCGATTGCCCACAAATCGCGATAAGTGCTCGGTCCTCCCCATTGGTGCTTCTGAGCCTTTCGGGACGTACCACATTGGTGGGGCGTTGCTCAGAACCTCAATCCTTGAAAAAGACCTCGGCGTGTTGGTGTCATCTGATCTACGGACTACACAGGACACGTTACGAAGGGTTGCTGCTGCCAACAGGATGTCCCATGCCATACGACGAGCCTTCTCGCGTTTGTCTCCGGATATCCTCCGACTATTGTTTACTTCCCATGTCCGCCCCAATTCTCGAATACGGATTACGTGCCGTCTTCCCTCTCACCAAGTTCGAATGTGACCTCATTGAGAAGGTCCAACGGCGTGGATCGAAACACATCTTGGAGCTACGGAACTTGCCTTATCCCCTGAGACTTCAGCGGATGAATCTGTTCACCCTGGATTATCGCCGACTTCGCGGTGACCTGATTTTCACCAGGCGCATCCTGAGAGGAGAGATGGGGACGGAGTTGCAGGCGTGCTTTCAATCCAATCCAAACAGTTCAACTCGAGGATACAACTGGAAACTGTTTAAACCCAGAAGACTCCGGATTCATCCTGCTCTCGCTCTATCAACTCTCGTAGTCAACGATTGGAATAACTTGCCGAAGCATGTGGTCGATGCTCAGACTGAGGAATGTTTCAAGCGAATGTTAGACTCTTATCTTTTGAGTACGATGGGCCCTTGCAGCTTCCAGTGCAGCTGTTAAGGTCCCTTGTGGATTACCGCATAACATCGAATCGCGGCCTCCACACAATGACCGGGAAGCGATGGAGCTGACAAAGGATTTCTCCTTCTGCTCTCTACAATCCTATGAACCTATGAACCTATCCTATGTCTTCTCTGCTCAGAGGAGTGGCATCGAAGGGGCGGTGGTAAAGGGGGGGGGGGGTCCGCCCCGGGCGGTATGAGATAGTTGGCGATATTTTTGGTGCAGACGATCGTTCGATATCAAGCGTTAATTCAACAAAACTTACTCCCATGAACGAAGGGGAATTATCTTAGTGAAACCGAAGATGAAATGGGTACTGCAAACGTTGATATCATGGCAACAAAAATGACATTGACAATATTGATGCAGCGGTAAATCTTTGTAATGCCGATGCAGAAAACGAGCGCAAATCTGAAGAATTGGAAAGGCAACCAGTACTTGGCACGAGTAAACGCACATCAACCTGTTACAGATGTCTAAACATGACATGTTAAGATTTGCCTTGAAATTCGTAATATACTGGTCCGGCTGGGATCTACTACAGTGCAGTGCCTCGATCATAACTTCAAAGTAGCGCGACCTGCAAGGAATACAAACATTGAAGCTGAAAAGCTAATAACGAACTGTTTTTCGGATGTTACGAAACGTAGAACCAAGGTTTAGAATATGAGACCCTGTTTTGTTTCTGCTGCAAAATGTTTTCAGCGGGACAGTCCAATTTTTGACTGATGGGAATTTCAAAAACTGGTAGAAATTAAGTCCGAAACTACGCAAACACAAATCTTTATCACATACTCAGGTGTCCTTCAAAAGCAAGGAGATAGAGATCAGACTATTTGAAGACAACTGACAAAATCGAACTGACACGCTGAAAAAGAAAACAATAAAGTGGTGTGAACTTCTAGCGAGATCACAATATCGTCGGATTTCTCGCCAAGCAAGATATGATAACGCGCCTTCATCGGTATGACATTCACGAAAATAAAGGCGGCCGGGAAAATGGTGTGAATGTTTCAGAAATTGTAAATTCCTTGGTCAATATTTGGTGACGGTCAAGCTGGGAAAGAAAAGCAGAATTCCTTTTGGTCTTCAGAGATTCGAAAGGAATTCGCGAGCATTCTGACACAATAGTTGGGAAAGAAAATCATTGATTAGTTCAAGGAAAATAAGTAATTTTGCTTAAGATTTATAACACTCAAGACGTATCTCACAACTTCATCGCAGTTATGCGTCGCGCAACGTAAAAGTGGATGAAAATGTGGAGTCGTTTCTCCGTCTCATTAAAACAAACTGTACAGCGCAGAGGGCATTTCCGGACTGACATTGAGAGAATTAGAGGAGGATGGAATACAGATTGATGAGCGCCGTGGTCAAGAATTTGTCAATGATGCTGTTACGATGTATTTGCGCGATCAACTCCGAAGCTAGGTCTGTGTCATACACAAACCATTCCCCGAATAGGGCTTGTGTACATGCAGTTTATGCAACGGTTCACTGTTATAATTTTTGGTTTAATGGATCGGTTGTTCAAGTTCTTTTCCATATCTACATATCCCTGGAATGTCTTGATCCAACTGACTTTTCTAAGTATCAAGCGGTTGCGAAAACTAGACGAAGTAGTCGATCAGACGCTGCAAATGTTGTGGTGAAGAAATAGCCGGAAATCGTCACTGCTCTAGTACAACTGTCATAGGCAAGAGGAAATACAACCACAATATCAGATGCGTCTTTAATTTTCGTCTCTGTACTCCCGTTTCTGTAAACTTCGTTTCTGAGTCTTTGGAGATCTATTCTCCCAGAGATCAATGATGCGCAGAAACATCTTCAAACAAATGGGACAGATCTGCAGCATAGTTCTGTTTAGCTCAAAACGTTAAGAGATTGCCTCCTTCAGAATAGAGAAGATTGTGGACGGTGCAAAGGGGGAGTGCAAATGACTACTTTGAATTAGGAATAGGCATGAAGCGTCGAATCCGCCGAAAGAAACGACTAGATGATGAAGAATTATTTGACACCAATGGGATCTGATGCTGAGTTGAAACGGAAACGCTGTCTGTCCTACACATGTTGACTAGTGAAATATGCCGTAGATTCAGTAAATTCATGTCTACAAGCAGATAGGCCTTCTTTACGTCGTCCAATCTGCATGATAATAACTATTTTTGTCCGATTTATCGGAGTTGAGTTCTTTATCGAAGAATGATAGCAGTATTTCGTGCAAGCTTCAGAAATCGACAAAATCCGTGGACCATTTGAACTTATTAGCCTTATACAGAAGTATCACCTCGAGGAATCTGCACCGAATATTGTGTTCTTGCTGTACATGTTACCAATTGCGCTTTATTTCTCAACATTTACATTCCATCACCAATAAGTCAAAGCTCACGGATTTGACAGTTCTCTCCATAGAGTGAGAATTTACCGATGGACTGAATTTTGGTAATGTTCTCGATAATTTTGACGCAAGTAAAGCATGCAAATTGTGTTTGTAAATTTGGACTTGAATATTGTAATAACACAATACATTTACAGTAGCACTCTAAAATTATATATTTGATTGTTATTCTCTGAAACGAAATATTATAGGGCTGTTCGCAAAGGTAACCGTTTATAGATTTACGACTGCCAGAGGAGGCGCCAATCTTACAACCGCCCCGGATGGCAAAAGTAGTTGCTACGCAGTCGTCTATACTTTGACATAATGATCGTTGTCATTTGCTGTGCGCAATAACTTCGTTGTTGTTGTTGAACTACTGATGATATACAACTTGCCTCATCCCCACTACCGTATGCGTTTTTGCGTGGGTTAAGCTGTGCAATTGCTTCCTTCTTTGTCCGGCAGTATTAGCAGTTGAAACTAGGTGGATGATCACGCTGTGATAATAATATTAACCGCATATTACTAACCTCAAGAAAGTAGTGAATGTTTTTACTTATTTTGAGACTGTCGTACGAAGTTGGATAACATAAGAGAAGCCACCAGAGTAGAACACCGATTTTACATTGAAGGCCGCATTCCAGTAGAAACAGCATTAGATCTGCTAGACGGCAATTATTATCACTATACCGGGATTTTCGAGCGTGTATCTACCTGTCACTAGGTAAAATTGCCAGTAAGCAGTCCGTGATCACTCCACTGCGTTTCCGTCCGTTATTCAAGTGACTGGCTGCTCGGTAGATTATTCTTTTATTGAAAAAGTTGGGAGCGTGAGGCTTTAGTCCGAGACGTGAAGAACGGTTGAGCCGGAAATACTTTTTAAATCATGTAGGCTGTTACTAGGCAGAAAATCCCATGGCGCAACGGCCATCTCACTATTTTGTTCCTGTCGTATTTCACCTCAATTTAGTGCGACTATAAGTGACACAACGCGTCTAACTGAATCGGACTTCTAGTTCCCTAAAGCCCCGTTATTTTGCAGACTTTTGTTTGTAATTCACAGAGGCCATCGCGTCCCTCTTTCCGTTCGCATCAACTCGATTTTGCGTGCACTCAGTCACTCCCTGTTCCGGCGTATTCTTCTCCCTTAGTTCGCCCACAATTGTCTCGATTATGACCGCGTCCTTGGACCTTAGAAGCAGGTGGCCGCCTAAGCAACCCCACTCTGCGTGTTAACACCATCTTTACATTATTTTAACCGGTGTAACATCTTACCCAAAGGAAGAAACCTGTGAAAAAAACATTTTCGAATACTGCGCGGCTCGTTGAGGTTTACCCGAGACCACGAGTTTACAGATTAGGCGATGTTGCAAGACGATCTAGTATTGACAGACGTGGTACTATGACCAAAACGATATGAGTATGACCGGAAGTGTGTATGCATTGTGCGTATGTGCGCACTTCGAAGCCGGACAATGAAGTGTGTTGCATACAGTCGTCATGGTAACATCGATCATCATCATCCCGTAGCATACAGCCTCCATGGTACACGGGACTACCCTGAGACTGAGACAGTGGTGGCACTGATTAACATGGAAAACTATGCGCGATGACAGGTATACCGAAAATGAATTCTTTCTTGGTCCTATATTTCGGGTTCGTCTCAGTCTCAAACACCGTGGTCGCATGGGACACAGACGGTAAGTTTTGCGTTCATGCTGTTTACCTACAAGCTGTACTCTACCGAGGTGATTATTTAAATGCACTGACTGATGCTCACAGAATGCTGTATGCCACAGAAAATACTCCGTAATACACGCGAACATGGAACGAAACTTTGTTACCCTTAGCGCGTTTTTTGTTAGTCCATATAATTAAAATGTGGGATTACTTCAATGAAGTGGTATTTGAGTGAATGCTGCAGACCGCGCTAAAACAGAGGAACTTGCGGAAGAGTTGCCTAGTCGAGGAATCGCCCAACATCCCAAAGTATCTAATATGTGAAAGTAGGCCTAATTTCTGCAGACCCGGACCGGCAGCGGAGCAAGTGTCCAGGATGACAAAATCATTGGCACGTGACTTCACTCGAAGTCAGCGTATTTTGAGCAGTAACCGAGGGGTTGAATAGACTGCTGCAGCTGAATGAGTCCTACCAGAGTCAGTTCATAGTAAGTTATAATAGAGTACCAAACGGAATTCTAGCACATTACTCGAAAATCGGACTCAAAACGTTTACATTATGTCTGTTGGATAGCGCAAACCAAATAATCGGTACTGTTCGAGTATAACGTACTGGGGGTCAGAGGTACTGGAGGAAAATGCAGCTGCTGTAAATCTGAGGTTATTCCGCATGCATACGAAAGTAGAAAACCAGTTTTTTTTATCAATTTTGTGAAACTCTAAGCTGTGCACTAAAGTCATCTTTTCCGGGGCTGTGTTGTTAAATCCAACCTCTTGGTTAATGGTAAAGGGGCGGCAAGAAGCAGCACATGAGAACATGGCATTGCGGGATAAGTTATCGGATGACCAAGACCAATGGAACTCATTGTGCGTACTGATGAGCATCAATGCCAAGCCCATAAACCTATAACGAATTACTCGTCATCCGAACTCGCCAAACTAGGGAGAACCCAGACTTATTCGAGTAACACTAGAATCCTCCACCGACGTAGAAAACGTCTTACTCTTCGCAAGCGCGGTAAGACACGGATCCTGCTGGGTACGCATCTATCCTGATGTCCCTTGGAGCGCGCGACAATCAAAAAGAAACACCGAAGAGGGACAGCAAGCAAAATCATCTAAACACAATCTTTATAGATGGCGTGCCAGAACATCCTTCTAACGATGTTCAAGAGACCAGTAAGCATGAGTTAGAACAATGGCGGTTCATCCGTGAATATTACGGCGTTATCGCTCACCAGGATACTCTCACCAAATTATAGAGGATGCGGCCCTAGAATCCTAAAACTTGTGGTTCAGTCAGAGCAACAATCAATCGATGTTTTGGATTCATGGCGGAAAATTCGTAAAAGTTTTCCTTCTGAACTTCGTTTAAAGGTCGCAAAAGCTTTGTACAGTTCAAATATTAATGCACGTGAAACAGCAAGCTTACCAACGAACGTACAGAAGCGTAACTTGACTTCTGCCTTAATTGATTCTGACTAAGGTCTAAAGGAATGTTGGGACGCGCCTTGGCCGAATCAAATTTCAAACGAGGTATCATTATCCCATCAAATAAAATAATAACTGCCACCCACCCATCTGTCGGCATTCTCCAACATTTGACCCCATTATCTGTCTGTAAGCCCCTAGAGACCGAGAAACTGGCCTGCTTTTATACGGATGCTCAGGGTCTTTTTAACAAACTGGCCGAACTGAAAGATCGCCAAGCTTCCGGGTCATATGATGTCACTGGTATCACCGAGATGTGGTTGCACACGGGAATGACGGAAACTAAAGTTTCACTACCGGGCATGCCGCTGATCCGGAAAGATAGGCTCACAAAAAGAGGAGGAGTAATTCTGTATTACCGAAGCGACTTACTGTGCGATGGCCGTGGATGATTCAGGTTCACAGTTCCCCGATTCTCTTTGGTGCCGCTTGCAGCTAAAAGGCAGAGATGCTTGCCTTATTGTCTTGGTGTACCGCCACCCCCTCCGAAACCGACTTCCACCTAGCGGCTGCTTTAGGATACAGTTTACAACGGAAGTACACTCACATACTACTCATGCTTGATCTCAACGTACATTGTGTAGAAACTCCTGCCACGATCGGAGGACAATTCAAAGCCCATCTACAAGCTCTCGTAACCAGTGCTCCTCTTTACAATCATAACACTTTGTCCACTCGGTTCAGAACAGGTAACAGGCCAGCTGTGCTGGATTTTGTGCTTACCAACGAGGGGCATATGATTGATGCGTTGGCTGTAAACTGCCCGTAGGGTTGCAGTGATCAGCTTAAACATCGTCTGCTATGCGGAATATCGGAATGAGAACGATATGACTGTGTGTACCATCACAAGCTACGATCGATTAGCCCAGCTCGTCGGCACTACACCTTGGTTGTTACTTGCCGAAGAACCCCCAGAAGTCGTCTGGCACGAGTTCGTCAACAAATTCAAGCAGCTGATTGCAGAGGCTTCAGAAATACGCGTTTGCAATAAGTGTAATCAGTTTCTTTCCTTAGGAGCAGAAATCGAAATTGGATGACAGTACGCAACGCAGTATGGCAAGTGTACAGAGAAGCTCCAGCACCAGAATCTCGGGACAACTACGTAGCCCAAGTTAACCACTGCATGTTGTGTTGGAGCCCCGCGACTGCTTCCACCCACTAACGTTAGTGAGAACACGAACGATCAGGGACAGAGATTCAAGGGTTCTTTACATAGGGAAACCAGTTCGTTATATAGCATAACGCACAAACATGATAGCCAACCAGGGTACGGAAAGCAAGCGGACAATTAAAGCCAATAAGAACGGAACAAATGGGGAACCAATCAAGTGCACACAAAGGACATAGCGTCAAAGTATGCCTGCGATCTGAAGGCAAAAACGATGACTACAAATAGCCAATAGGGATGACGAAATGATGCGTTAAAACAAACATCGGTGAACCTCCATGGTAGAACGAAAGTCTGCAGTCATGAAGGGCTACAGATGCATACCTGTATTTTATTTTCACCTCCAACAATGCACTCGACTGCTCAGAGAAAACAAAGCCGCATATCATCACAACATCGCAAAAACCTGCAGTACCAAACGCAAACTGCTGTACAAGCACGTCAGTATCCTAAGAAAGGTGAGGCAAGGATTTCCTCCACTCAAGATGGCCGATGGTCCAACAAGAACGGCTGTGGAAGCAGCACACACGCTGCGGGTGCAATATGCCCACACGTTGCAGAGGGTCTTGCCACCAAGCAATTGTTTAACCTTTGCCGTCTGCTCGTCAGGACTAACCCACATTCCTTTTACCGCGGACGCTTTATTGCAAAAGCCGATGTTCATACGGAAACACTGCTCGCCGGGTGTCGATACCATTGGTCCAGAGGCACTGGAAGCAGCAACAAGTCAACTCTCAGGAACTGGCTCAGTTTTTCCAGCGCTGCTTAGAACAGAATCAAGTTCTTGTCATGTGGAAGCTTGTAATAATAACCCCGATTCACAAAAGTGGAAGTAGAACTGAATCCTCCAACTAACGCCCAGTATCCCTTCCTCAGATACTCTCCAAGAGCATGGAATCCATAGTTGCCGATACACTGATATGACATGGAAAGCTGCAACATAATCACACCTGAGCAGCACGGTTTCCGTCAACAGCCGTTATGCACAACGAATTTACTACTCGAACGCAGTAGTTGGACCGAATCAGTTGACGCTGGAGAAGACGTTGACGTGATCTACCTGGAGTTTTCGAAGGCTTCCATCGTCTAGACCGTCGGATACTACTTTCCAAGCTCCAGCAATACGCGATCGCTGACTCTCTACTAAGCTGGATTGCCAGATTTCTACTTCAACGATGGTTAGTGATCAGAGTTGGGAGCTCTTTATCGAACCCCATACAAGTTGAGTGTGGTGTGCCGCAAAGCTCAGTACTAGGTCCGCGTTTGTTTTTGGTGTTTATTAATGACATTACACAGGGAATCGTTTCAAACTTCCTAATGTTTGCCGACGACATTAAGATTTGGCGCAATATTCAGGTGAACGTCGACCAGAATTTTCTTCAAAGAGACCTAGCTACGGGATATCAATGGCCAACGGAAGACACTGCACTTCAACATCAGTAAATGCAAGGTACTTTCCATCCGACATCAGAGTAGCTACTCATACCGGATGGGAACGAATGTATTGCAACAATCAACTGTCGAACGTGACTTGGGTGTCCTGGTTCAAGATGACTTGGGTTGCTCCATGCAATCCGAAAGGGTCTCGAAGACTGGAAATCAATACGTCGGGCTGTTGCGACGGGCGTTTGGACAAATAAACAATTCCATATTTCGACAAATGCTTAGTGCGTATGTTCGCCCCCATGTCGAATATTTAATTCAAGTGTGGCATCCATGGCTGAAACATGACCTTAACGCACTGGAGCAGCAACAAGTTCGGGCACCTAAGAACGTAAATGTAACGCGCAATCTTCTATACGAGCAGAGGCTGCAACCATCGGGAGTATTCAGCCGACAGTATCGTAGATTACGAGGCGACCTGATTATGGCATACTTGATTCTGCAAGACCCACATAATGTGTGCCACCGTTTACTTCGACTCAGCACCAATACTATCATGAGGGGGCCACTCATAGAAACTCGCTGTACACTGCAGCCGCCTGGAGTGCCGCAGAATTTGCTTTTCCATTCGTGTCTGTTACCCGTGGAATGCTTTCCCAGAATTGTTGGTCTCTGCGTCGACAGTAAGAGTATTTAAAAGACGGTTGGACGACGCACTCATACACTTACACATTGTCACTTAGCGCTACCTATCCATCCTACACCTGGAGTTTATCATGGAATGATTTGATGTTAACGGTTGGTGCTGTGAATCAGCTGATTACAGGACTACGGCGGAGCAAACGATAAGTCATTGTTTTCATTCTTAAAGTACTAACTTTTAACTATCATTATTATCATTATTGTTATTTCGATATCTCCACCAGCTATCCAACGGGATTTGTAAAGCAACGCTTACTAACCTGTATAAGTGCATTG